ATTGTTAGCAGTACAGACCAGTTGAAAGCCTGTGAAATAATAGTATTGGGGCAACAAAGGAAGTTTTAAATTATGCACTTTTGGGACCTTTTTTATTTAAGATGGCTTATCTGAAATACAGTGAGTATTGACAGAACATGGAATAAGCTTGCAGTCAAGCCTCTCAGGGTACAATGAGGTGTGGTTGAAGGGCTTGTGTTTAATCTGGTACATGCTAATTAGAGAATGTTTTCAGTTGTCTTTCTGTAAAACAATCACTAATGCTTTTGGAGTATGCATATTTTTCAGTTTGCTTGTGTATCCTATATTCTTTCATTTCTCCCCTTCTGTAATCACAATGACCAAGATCTTTTCTTTTTGCAATGAAAGGCAGAAAAATCAACCAATTTCACCTTAATTCAAGACTTACATTATTTATAGGCTGGCCAGTGGAAGTGGAGCTACTATATTGATGCAAATTATCTTGTGACCTTCCATAAAAGTAGAAATTTTGTTTGTCTCCATTCTACTTATTTACACCATAGTTGAAGTTATGGCTCCACCTACCAAGAAAGGAAATGATACACTGTGGAAGAAACGGGATGAGGGCAGGGGGTGATCATACAGTCACCTTTGGAAGCATGGTGGTTTATCAAGCACAGTGGTTTATCAAGCACAGTTCAGTAGGCTGGAGCTTAAGCTATTCGAGTGAGAGCATGCATTGAAGTTCTGCTGTGCATGGCTTCAAACTAGGAAATGTCTGAAGTCCTCTGGTGTTGCTTTATGTTCAAAGGAATGTGGTTTTGCACATTACTAAGCTAATTCAGTAATATGATGTATTTGCTAGCCAAATTTCCTTTCATTAGCTACTCCTGCTTTTCTGCACTGGTGTTCACTTACTCCTGTGGTGAGCTGATTCAGAAAGTGAAACTAGTAAGAAGGTGATTACTGTTTCTGTGGTTCACCTCTGTGAATTAGCACATAATAATGTCAGATGCTAAGACAGGTGTAATGGAGAAAGGCTGGAATGGGAAAAGAGGCAGAAGGAGTAAGACTGGCAGCACACATCTGTTAAATCACTGTAATTGTAAGCAAGGAGAGGAACACTTGAAAATGTACAGTGTAAAGTGTTAACTATAAACAAGACTTTTCAGTTCTTTGCTTTCAAAGATGGAACAGAGTTTTTACTTAAATAGTCATTGTTCTCTCACAGCTTCCAGCTCCTGAATGTTGTGGGAAAGAGAAAAAAAATTGTTTAATTAGTGGAAGAAATTTTGAGGGTGGAAACAATAAGGATCTTTTTGCCAAGACTTTTGTAGTTCATTCTTAGAGATGAGGGTGAAAACCCAAACTCATCACACTATCAAGAAACTTGCATTCTATTGTTTTATGTTTTTATTTCTGAGTACTGACTTTAGGATAGTTAGACTCCTTTAGCATTGAGCCAAACTTAAACACACTGGGGTCATGAATTAATCTTAGGTGACTTCAGCTCTTAGGAAGGCATACTGTCTTGAAAATGGAAAGCTCTAAAATGGTAGCTGTTGTTAACTGAGAAGTTACCAGGTATCTTAAGCCTTGAGTTACTAATTGGAATTGAAATAAGCTCTTATGGCCAGACCGAGTCAGTAATGAGGTTTTGGCAAGTAAATATTCTCTTGGTCATGGCATCCTTAGTCTTCTTATAATGGGAGATGCATTTTACAGAAAAGTAAATTATTTTGCTTTGTTTTCATCCTGTGTCAAGAAGAGAAGCCTGGATTTAAGTTCTTAATCTTTCATATGACTGCAGTGTTTCACTGTTTCTGTTTAGGCAGAAGTTCATCAGTGTTTCTAGGTATCTTCCATACCTTCCTCCAGCATTAAAGTAAACTACAGTCTACAGTAATCAGGGCTGTGAGCAGTAGAACTCTTCCTTCCACATACCAAGTTGTTAATCAGGAAGTTGAAACTGGTTAAAGAGCATGTTTTAAAATGGAAACCTCCCAGGAGGATATACCTGCATCTGTTAGTCTTTCTTGGTTTCCAAAAGGATATCTTTAGAAGATATTTTCCTTGCAGGATGAGGTACTGCTATGAGGTGCAGTCTTGTAGCTTTATCCCCATATTATATGCTAAACTCAATTGAGGGATCATACCCCTTTAGTCAACATTTATCTTTTTTAATTTGACCTCTGTAGCCCACACCCTAGGAGTGGTCAGAGCTCTTGTCTTCCAGATGTGTACCTAATGTGTTAAAAGTGTTACCTCCATGTATTTACTTGTAGGTCACCTGAACTTCTGTAACGTCTGAAGTTTGCATGTTACACTTAAGAATGTGGTCCAGAAGACCAAGAAACATTTAATCCTTCAGTGTAGGCTGTGCTTATGGAAAATCAGATTTGTTCACATTGGGCTCAATTTTCTGATCCAATTTTAATCTTTCAGTTTAAGAAGGGTAATACTGCTCTTTATGGAAGTGTTTTGATGCTCTTAAAAAATCAAGAGCATCAAAATATCAGTAATATAAGTCAGTCAATATCAACTCCATACAGTAATGCTACTGGTAATCCAGGATTGCCTTAGAAAAAGGATACAATCTGCCTGTATGAGATGTGTTTCAGTAAATAATGCTTGAGGCAGAAAAACATACCTTTTAAAAAATTAAAATAAAGCAACACAAGCTTAGTTTGTGGTGAATTCTGATCTCAATTAAATGTTGTGATGCTCTCTTCCATCTGCTCCTCTTTTTCTTTTGAGCAACTTTTTGTTTCTTTAAAGCCCCTTAGAAATCTCAATAATGAGAAGTGTCCCATCTGAGTTACGTATGTGAACCTTCAGGGATCTAATTGTATCTAAGCAGAAGAGAAAAGAGATCCTTTGAATGGAGACACTAAAATTGTTCTTTGGTCAGGTTTGTGAAGGTTGCATTGCAGATTTGCACATTGATTTGGCTAGACAATAAGATTCCTTTCTCCATCCCACTTGCTAGCTTACTGGTACTTGTGAGCATGCTTAGAACTTGTCTCTTCATTTCCCTCTCTTCTCATCAGTTTTTTAAATAAATTCCATGACCAAAAGTATCCAAGGAAACTCATCTTTGTGGAGACCTTAGCCTGTTCCCACAGTGTTGGTAGTGTAGGATTGGACTAAGGAGAAAAATGCCACCTATTCCAGGCATCAACTAAGCTTAATTTTTCGTCAATGCTACAGCATGTAGTTTCCCTCTATGATGGACATATTTATTAAAGAATAAATATCTGATCTCATAAATAAGGAACTTTCTGCACAGATTGTTTTTACAAGTATGATGTGTCTCTAGTGAATTCATGATGTGGTTATCTGCTTCACAGAGGCATACTGTAACTTTTATCACTAGTTGAACTAATAGGAGAGCAGCTCCTTTCTTTCTAGATCTTATTTTTTAGTAAGCACAACTTAATACAGACCAATAAAAGACTGGTTGTTCTAACAAATTGGTTTTATTGAGGACTCTTTCTACCATGAGTATTCAATTCAGCTGAGATGCAAGTTTTGCTTTGTAGTAGCTCATTGCTTAGGCTGCTCAGTATTCACAGTTGTCAGTCTCACTTCTGTAATCTTCTTCCCCAAGAAAAGCTTTTAAACATTCTCTTGTTTCTGTTCTTGAGCAGCCGATTCTCTAACTGAAGAATCTAATTTAGAAAACAAGGCCATTTGAGGGCAAGTAGTAGTGCTGCAGATCTATTTAAAGTTTATGTGATTTAAGTGAAGAGTCTTTGCTTCCAGGCGATTAATCTTTAGAGACAGAGCAATAGAACGCTTCAGTAATTACTTGAACAGTAAAGATCCGTGATGACCTGAGCCAATAATGCCTTTTAATGTGGTAACTTCTAAACTACTAATTGGCCAACCCCCATCTCTTGCTATATTTTGAACCTAACAGCTGGCAGTGGAAAAAATGCTAGTGGTTTGGGGTAAAGAATAGGTCTTTCCATTGTTTTTAAGTTCAGAATGCTTTGGAGTTCAGAATGTGGTAAAAACCGGCAGTGAAACATAGGGAAAGCTACTTCTGCCATTATGTTATGGCTTAAAAATTAGTTTTAAAAGAGTTTTTGTGTTCAAAGTTGTTTTAAAAGGCTGTAGCTTGCTTTCCACCTTTCTCAACTTAACTTAGAAAATAATTGATCATTTAAGAACTCAGGTAGTTGGATATTTTCAGACTTCAGAATTTCCTGCGAAGCCCTGGATCTGTGCTTGTCTCCTTGCTGTTAGGTGCTCCAGACACACAGTACTTTAGCATCACCAATATGTTTGCTTAGGATGCATCTGAGATTGCAGGTGACCAGGCTGGAAGGAGGAAGAATAGTAATCAGTGATATCAGTTCCATCTTTTCTGTTATCCTGCATTCATCTTGCTTTCCCTGAAGAACTGTCCCTCAGATTTCAGATGGAAAGCGAGGGGAGCAGAACTCCCCAAGAGCAGTGGCATGTGTGACTGGTGTGTGTATACTGGTCCTGAGGGGCACAACATCAACTTGTTTCTTGGGAGGTGGAGCCCTAACTTTGCTGTTGCTGGGTGGAGTGGGAGAAGATTGTGACAATTACAGTGAATAACTTTGCCATATAAATCAGTATACTCCAGAACACTGTTCTGAGGACAGAATCTGTCATGACAACTAAAATTCTTGCTCTTCTATCACCCAGAGTGTTACTGTACTTGTTCTGTTTTTTCCCAGCTTTAGTTCTTATCTTCTAGTTTGAATTTGCTAGAGACATAACTTTGGCTTTAGATTTGTGCTGACTGGAACTGACCTGTGATTGCCGTAGACCTGTTGACATTGTCTTCGTTATGGATGTTCAGTTAAACTTTTGCTAGATGTATAAAATAAACGTAGTGCTGGCTTTTATTTTACGTTTTTTTTTTTACTATTGAACAAAAATCGTTATGTTTTACAGTATTCACTTGAGTTGATATTTGGGTGCATTTTCACGTGCATAGCCTGTATATACTGTACTTTCTGTAAAGTTGCTTTTCTTTTCCCCTTTTTCTCTGCCAAAAGGAATCAGATACACCACCTTGCACAGCTCCTAATGTTTACCAGTTCAGTCTTCAAGCACCGACTCAGCTTATGGCCAGTTTAGCACCCGCATTGCCCCTGCCAAGTGGTAAACCCCAATCTGCGCCTCCGAGAGCCCTGATAGTGGCCGCCAGTAATCAGGTATGAGCCAGCAACTCTGTCACACTGCAGCTGCAGCTCATCTGTGCTGTCAGTCTGAGGATAGCCTTCATAGAGCATGTGCTGAGCTTCATGTGGTCATCAAAGTACTTACCTGCTGTGTCACAGCTGTGGGGAGAGCAAAGGGTGGGAAAGGGTTTGGAGAAGGAGGCCCCTCTGCAGCACAGACACCAAGTTAAAGGAGGAGTGTCAGGTGTCTGACTCCTTAAGTTGTAGTTGAGAATCCTGGTGCCCAGCTGGTGGGGTATTTGTAGATTTTTAGGCTCTTTAATTTCCACCACCATATAGGTGGAAGAGCTGTAAGAGTTTTTTTTTTAAAGGAATAGTACTGACCTTTCTAGGCTTATTTTGTTGTCTTGATTTTGAATTATTAGATTTGGTTACACTTGTAATATTCTGTAATACATTTTAAGGGTAGAAAACAGAAGATTCATTATGGACATGTGCACAAGGTTTTTTACCAAAAAATAAAATATGTGCATAATTGTGGGACCTGAATGTATTTTGGCTAATGTATCCATTCTGGTACAACCTCAGTGCCTCTTCCTGCAGGAAAACACTCCCTCAGTCTTGATAATTACAGCTATTAGTCAAACATACCTCACATGAGGCTTGATGCAAATTGTGGGTTGTAGGTTGCCTGTGGTAACAAAACAGTGAGCTGGTTTCTTTGAAACTTAGTTTTGGTCAGGTTCTCTTCCTACTTCTCCAAGTCCTTCTATCAGAGTTCTTGGGAATCAAGGGCCAGGAGATTTTCAACTTAATGCCTTTTTTTTTTTATTTGATTCAGCACGCACTTCATGGATCTTCACTGGACACTCTATTTGTCCATATCTCTGTTCCTGGGGAGCCCAGACCTAGGCCCAGCACTTCATATGTGACATCACCTATGCTGAGTAGAGGGGAAATAATCACTTCCCTTGACTTGCCTTTGGTTTTAAGCTTCTAACTGGTTACAGAGGTTCTTCCCCTCCTTTCTTTCCCTACTGCTCAGTCCCACCTAGGCAATACCAGCTTACCTGCACAGGAAATGTATTAGTGAGAAGCTAATAGAATAATATATTTCTATTATAATGTCTGCAGTTGAGTATTCACTGGCTAGTGAGTACAGTCCAGTCTGAAACTTCAGAAGGTTTTTTAGAATAAAACTGGAGAGTTATTTTAAGTTAAACTTCATCTAAAATGCAAACTTAGTGTAGGTTATTCTTTCCTTAACAGCTCTGCTTTTCTGAAGTACCCTGGAGCTAGTTAGGAGGCATGCAGTTGTTAGTACAAAACAAGTTGGCATTCAGAGTGTTTCCCACAGTTGTGAAGAGAATGTGTTGTGTGAATTTTGGATGTCTGCTAGAATTCGGAATCCTGGAAAACAGCTGCTTTGTAGCACTTTTTCTGGCTTTCTGTTCCTTGGCTGTCCTTTCAAGTGATTGTTAACTGTTCTGTTAGAATTTTATAGTACTTAAATGTTTAAAAGCAGGAGTTTTTTTGTGGCTTTTCTTGACAAAGATGTTAATGCCTTTGAGAAGCACATTAAATCAGAAGAATTTCTTGCTACCTGTAGTTTAGAAATGGGATAATAGGCTATTTGCATTGAATTTACCAAAAGCTTATATTTTGTGAGGTAGAAGTGGGTTTTTTGATAAAGTTCATGATTGAATCAGAAGGGGGAAATGAAATCATTTTACCCAGAATACTGTAAATATCTCCTTTCCACTTCCAACTTTCTGGAGCATGACTGTGCTAGATTAGGCTGGTGGCTTTTCTTTGAGTTGATGAGACTCAGCTAGCTTATAACTCTTAATAGGTGCACTCTACCATCTTAGAGGACTCCTGCCCTGATGGATTTGCACATGATTTCTTAATGCTTTCTTAAAGGCATATCTTCTTTCCTATTAAAAAATTTTGAAAGGAACTCATTTGTCTGCATGGTGTCTTCAGCTTTTTCCACCTTAGTTCAGCTTGGAAAGCTGTACCTGGGTGTTGAATACAACTCTCAAAAGCAGGAGGTGCCAAGAGCATTTAACTGTATTTTGAACAAATTACTGCCTTCTAGGCAAGTTCACTGCTGTTAAAGCTTCCTGGTATTTTTATTTTTGAAATATGTTTGGTGTGATTGCCAATTCTGTTTATGTACTGCAAAATTAATTGGAGAATTTCCAGGTAGTTCAGGGACTGATTAAGCTCCTGGCACAGGTCTGTGTGCTTTTCAGGATCATTATCACCCATGATTTTTCCAAGGTAATAATTCTTCTACTCTGCTGACAGCAGTTTGAAATTTTACTTGGAAGTTTACGAAGCAGTGCTGCCCATTAGAAATAAGCGGAGAAACAGATGCTGAGACGCATGTCCAGATGAGTAGTGGGGGCAGAAATTGCTTGGTAACTTCCCAAGGAGAGGAAGGGACTACATTACCTGTTGCTGCTTTGAGAGAAGTTTAATCCATGCTGGATTACTGTTCACTAGGTTACCAAAATGAAGAGAGAAGAAGTTTCCTTTTTCTTGGGTCAGAAGAACTCTTTCATTTAACTTTTAAGATGCTTTCTTTGTCCCCCCAAAGGGTTATGTTTTGATTCCAAAGTATCTAAAACCAGCAAGCACCAGTCCCTCTGCTGCACTGGCTGGCTTCTAGTGTATCTGAGGAAGTCTCCAGTAAAGATGAGTGGTGTCTGATTGGGAATATGTTTGTTGCTATAGAGACAACTAGGAAGTGAAACCTTAATGTCAGTGCTGAAATACCACAGTCAAAACCTGTAAAGGGACTTGCAGGAGTAGATTTTTTTTTCAGATTCTTTTGAGTTTGGCCAAATAAGGTAGAACATTTAAACTTAGAACCTGCCTTTTTTTTTTTTTTTTTTTATTGTATTATAGGCACTTCTGTGGTTAGCATACTTTGTTTCAGAGTTTGCTTTTATCCAGAGCAGTTGTTAATGGTGTTGCTTTGTGTCACTAGTACTGCTGATACTGCTTCTATCTCTGAGATGATTGCTGGAAGGTTAGCAGCATTGGAAACTAAATTGGTCAGGGACTTGAGTCAAAATTTCTTAATTTCTTTTAGATGAGTACAAACAGTAAAGCGTAGCTCAACTTGGATGAAGGATAAGTTTGTGAAGACATTTTAGTTCATGTCAGTGCAGAAGTATGCTGAATTCCCTTTGTATATTGAGATACTTCCTTGTTCTCAGTATGTCAAATTCAATTTAGAAATGACCTGATTTGTTCAATGGCATTTTTAAGCTGTTTAGGTACTGAAGGCTTCTTCATTCAACCAGACGACATTTTTGGTTTTTTTTGTTTTTTTTTTTTTTTTTTTAATTGAGAATGCTCTCATTTAGGGTAGAGTAATTTTTTTAGCGTCCATGTTTTTCATAGGACGTAGGCTATGGTTGTCTACTTTGGAAACATCATAGGAAGTAGGCTATGGTTGTCTACTTTGGAAACAGTTTTGATTCTAAATGACAGACTCACATCTTCTGTGTGTGACAGAACATTGTTTGGTTTTTAACACATGCAGAACTTAGGGGAAGATGATGTTTTATTTCCTTTTCTAAGGAAAGAAGAGAAGGAAAAACTGAATCTGAGTTTCAGAGGTTGTTCAGCTGAAAACATGAAAGACTGTCTGTGTAAATACAGGGCAACCTGGACGAATTTTTCATCTAGGTTGCCCTGTATTTACACAGACAGTCTTTATGTGGTGTTATCCTTCCATATATGGAATCTGACTTAGCCTGACCAGACCCTGGCTAACCTAATGTGGCTGCTTACAACAGAATGTTGGATTAAGTGGTCTCCAGAGGGCTCCTTATAAACATCTAGTCTAGATGTTTAAAGGACTGTATGAAATCCTCTGGCCACATTTTTGGTTGCTTCCTGAGTTGCAGGGAAGTCTACCTAGTAGTTTCTTAGAAACATAAAAAAACCCACCATAAATAAAAGACTTATGGAAATGCAGAAGTCATACCTTCCTTTTGTTAACATAGTACTGCTTTATCTTCTAGTGTCATTGTAGTCAGCTTTTTGCTCACAAACTGAGATTGATTTGAATAATCACATATGTATTTCCTCTGCAGACTTTTTCACATGTATTGGTATCACCTCATCATTTGGAAAGGGTTTTTCTTACAGTAGTAATAGTGTTTCTGTTCCAAATCAAAAGTGAGAATTCTCAGTGAGGTAAGATTTCTCTTTAAGGTCTGAAACTGTCAGCTTTGTGCTAAAAAAGCTATTATCTCTTGTTCTCTGTAGTAACAAGTACGCAGATACACTTCATGGCCCATGTCACAACAGCAGCAAAGTTGCAGTATGAGTTCTCTCTTCTGGTAGCATTGTTTTGACTCTTGCCCCTCAGTTTTGAAACTTGAGTACTGACAAGATCAAAAAGGGTATTTATTTCGTGTGTCATCCTGCTCTCTTTACCATAACATAGTTCAGTATTTGTGGCGATGCTGACGGTGCTACCTGCTGTCAGTCCTTCATTTTGGGGACTAGGCCCTCTGCTCTCTTGAAAACTAATTTATCTTGGGGCTGCTCATACTCATATTGCCTAACCTGTTGTGAAAGGTGAAGAGAACCTTGAACTTTGTGTGGTAGCTCTGCCAATAATCTATAATGAAGTGAAATAAGATATAAAATATTGAAATAATTGCTCTCAAGAAGCTTTTATTTTTCCAAGTTCTTTTGTGCTGGAAGGTGAGAAACATATAAAATCTTTCTTGCTTTTGAGCTCTTTTTTCCCATGTTGATTTTCCTTTTCTTTGCTGTTCTTATGGTTGGGTCCATAAATTTCCCCTTTTAGTAACAGCAGAAAAGAATTTGGGCTCATTTTATAAAATCTATTCAGGACTTAAGATTTAGCGGTTGTAGCTGAAAGTGACCTGTAGGTCCCAAACAGAGAAGTGTCTTTGTTTGGTGTGCTTTGAGCCTTATTTCCCTAGATTGCCAGTACTGAACAACTTTTGGAATAACTTACTTTGGTTTGTCTCTACTTCAGCTTAGAATTCTAAACCACATACAAATCTTACCAGGTTAAGAGTACCCCCAGGTAGCACATGCAAATATCTTGCAGAATCCTATTAACTAATCTAAAATAATGAGGCTAGGTTGCCTAATAATTGACTTATTGCTTATGTAGTTGTGTCTAAAATGTTGGTTAGATCATTGTCCATTATTTCTCTGCAAAACAATAGATTATTTCATGCTATTTATGAAATAGATTATTTCATAAAGAAGAAGTTAAATTTTTCAGTGTATTTACAGATTATATGATCAGAAAGTCAGTAAGTGAGTGCTACAAGCCTAAAATAGAGAATTTGGAAATAGTTTGCAAACTTTGTGAAATATTTTGAGAATGCATAATATGTTATTTAAGGTTTACTTAAAGTGTTAATGGTGCATTAAGGTAGCACTGAATACTTCTCTGGTATTTCACATTAAATGATTTTGAGGTGTGTGGGTTTGATTACAAGTCTGATCAGCTGCAGACTAGATTCAGTCATGGCATTTAATCCTTTTAACAACAAAATATTAAATATGTGATCTTTCAAAATGTCTTATGCCTTTTCTAAGCTTTTCCTTTACCTCTGTAAGTACTTACCAATCATTTTGGAGCACTGTAGCGCTGTATAATCTATTTTTAAGTTGAGCACAGATACTTTATTACCATCATTTTTCTGTCTTTCTTTTCTCCTTACTTTAGAAATTCTATCAGGCAAAAAAAGAAACCTAGCAAAAGACCAAAACAATTCAGAAGCCTCTTTATGTTTAGACTTCAGCTCTGTTATGTTACTTGTGTTATTTCAAATTGTAGGGGATTGATTTTTTGCTAAACATTTTCTTTTTGAATAATGGCAGTCTTTAAACATCAGCAGTTTTGTACAGTAAATTTGCCAGTATTTAAGAATAGAAATTTGGTTTCCTTAGCAAATAATTAGTTGGAATCTCTATTGCAACCAGATTTGTTTTCTTGAGTTTTTTTCTGGGGCTTTTAATTTTTTTTAAATTTTCCTCTGTAGTTATTTTTGTTTGGTTTTTTTGGTTCTTGTTTTGTTTCATTGTTGTTGTTTTTGTTAGATTCTGGGGGGGGTTGTTTGTTTATTTGTTGGTTTTTGGTTTTTTTTTTTTCCTTCTAGAAGCTTTTTTAACCTGGTGTGATGAAGAATTCCACCTTACCCCCACCACCAGCTCTGGCTTAAATGTGAATTCATTAATTCATTAGTTTACCCTCCAGATGTAGCAGATTATTCAACACAGCTAAAAACCAAACCCATACTATCTGTTCTATTTGTTGAATCAATAGCCTTAAGATGGGAGAGCTTGTTCTATCTAGAGAAATAGATCCAAAGAAGTTGAAATTTCTAAATAGAAGATTTCTGTCATATCATAGAGGAAGGGCTTTCTTTTTGGATTATCTGATCTCTCTAGACATCATCTGCTGCAGATATCATCTTTCAGTGATTGTGTGAGTCCTGAGCATGGGAACATCCAGAAGTTTGTGCACAGGAGAAAGGTGTTTGATGCAGCCTTTTGAGATTTCCAAAAACATGAAGTAAAGTTCTTTTATCAAAGGTCCTGAAGGAAGCTAAGTAAATGATATGTGTCCCATTTTAAACAATTAACTAATTGGAAAATGAGGAACAATTTTTCTAAAAGATAAAGTTTACCAGGAAAGCCTTGCAGAAGTTTGTGCTGCCTAATATCTAAAAGGCAGTGGATGAAGCCTGGTGAAGTTTGCTGATGGTGTGAAGCACCTTAAGGGCTACTTGAGAAAGGATGCAGAAGGACCTTTCAAGGTGATGCATCAGGAGGGAGAGAAATAATTTAAACTTTGTAGAGAGTGGTAGGCTCAGAGCAGACAGTTTCTTGTAAAGATGATATCTTGCAGAGCACCAATAGTGAGTATGATTTTGCCATATCTTTCCTCATCAGAGGGAAGTCAAAACACAAATGGAAGGAGAATAGGGAAAGATATCAATAGTGATCAAACACATGAAATTGCTTCTGTGTGAAGAAAGGATGATTGTTTAACCTCAACAAGATGAGGTATATGATCTAGGTCTGTGTGGTCATCAGCTGTATATGAAAAAGTTAGAGAACAGAATGACAAGAAATTTCTTACTCCAAGAACTGACACATCATCCCATAGTAGGCCAAATTAAATGTGATGCTCATTTAAGCTGTGAAATGCCATAGCACAGGATGCAGGATGCTAAAAGCTGATGGTTTTAAAAAAAAAGTGAACAAAATGTAGTTGAGAACTGGTAAAGATAAAGGTATCATCTCTTACTGAAGTGGTCCCTGAGTCAACTTCCTTAAGCACCTCTCTCAGCTGATGAGTCCTAAGACTGATGGATTCAGATCCTGCTCCAGTAGATTGACAGTGTTTATCTTGATGGCCTAAAAACAATGCGGAATGCGTCATCACAAGCTCGAGTTCATGTTCTGGCCTAGGTTATTAATCATTCTTTGAAGGTTTGTTTACCTTTTGAACAAACAAGGGGAATGACATCTTTTAGGATACAGGTGGATGCACTTGTCATGCTTGTCTGATCTTGGGGTCACCTGCCATCCTGCTCCCAGTAGGAGTATATCAGTGAGTATATCTTCCTCAATATCAGTGAGGATTCACCAAGGTTTTTTTGGTGAATCTTTACTGATACAGAGGAAGAAATTCGCAGATTTTTCACATTTTCAGCTGAAGGGAATAGATTGGCTTCCTGGAAGTTTGTATGATCCTTGATCAGTTTTGTTCTGCTTGTTCAGTAGCAATACTAAAGTTTTCCTCTGTCTTTCTTCAGTACATAGTTGAGGGTCACTGTGATGACTGGCTACTCTTAGTACTTTACTATTACAGGGTAATTTTTAGTGTTTTGATGTCATTTCAAGTAAATGTATATAATTGAGTCAGAGCTATACTTACTGAACTAGAAAACTTTGCACAAGGATGTGACATGGTGTGTTTGCTTGAAGGACAACTTGCCCAAAATAGAAAACATTCTAATTTTTTATAGTCTCATGTTGTTTACTTGCTAAAATATCTACTAGAAGCTATTTATGAAACATGTATCAATAAGTTATGTTTGGGAAGTAGTATCTCTTAAATATGGAAAATTCTCCGCTTGAGTTTCGTTTTTCTGTTTGTCCTTGACTTATTTTGCCACTGGTAGTCTGAGAACAACACTTGGTGTTTAGAAGTTGCATGGTGAAGGTTGATCAGGTTGCTGTAGGACACAGTATAAATCAAAAATCATTTTAAGGTTATTTTGCCACCCTGCAGTTAACTGTCGTTGTTCCTCAACTCTGGTCTTCACCAGTTTGTCTTTCTGGATGCTCAGTGTCTCCTGTAGTAACAGTTTGACAGTAAAATGTTGCTTATGGAATTATGCTTTCAATAACTCTTTTTGTTTTGTGCACACAATTGTGGCTTGGTGTTCTTGTTTCTTTTGACTTCACACTCGTTGGGAAATACAGAATATGAAATACCTGCTGCTACTTCAGTGTTCTAAGCAATTGTCCCAAATGTTAGCTCTGTGTTCCTGTGCAATCCCTTAAGATTAGAATTGGCTCTTGTTACAGGCAGTCAGTTGTCTGTTGAGTTATTGCTGTCAGACAATAACAATAAAAACTCAGGAAAGGTTGCTTGCATTGGTGTTACCAGTATTTAGGAAATCTTTCAGTTTCATCTTCTGAAACTCTTGTACCTAATTTAAGTACGTACACATTAAGCCAACTTACTTACTGTATACCATTAAGTGATAGAGATGCTTTTGTAGTACCTTATGGTGGGGTAGGTTTACTCAGGCTGCTACTAAACCTTCTGGGCAGTTTTTGTTTCAATTTATAGGAGATCCCCCCAAAAAAGTGTTCTGCTATATTTCTGATCACATAATTGTTTTGCCTTGGTCTGCATATGAGGTACAGTCTAGGAACTGTGTAAGCTGATGATCAGACCAGTAGGATTCACAAGCTTCTCACAAACAATACTTAGTTTAGTTTGCCTGTCACTGACTTGAGGTTATGGGGAAAGCTGACTTGTACTCCCCATGCATCAGCTTGTGTGATCATGCCCTGACATTTCTTCATGATGTTTCTGAAGAAATGAAGTATCTCATCTGGTCATGCTCTTGCTGAGATACTCCAAAATATACCCATCTGTCACAGTTAGTATTTAATGTGGAAGTTCTCTTATGGTTTTATAAGGGAGTTGTACAGTGAGTATATTTCATACTGAGATTCCAAGGGTGTTAAGGATGCTTTGAAATCTACACCATTTCATTTGCAGGACATTTTCTTCAGAAAACACTTAGTAAGCTGTTAGTGCCTTGGGACTTACACAGCTACAAATAAACAAGCATGAAAAGACCCGTTGCTTCAAGCAGTGTTTTGTGGAAGTGATTTATATGTTGAGGAAATACAACTGGTGATATATGTTTTGTTTGCTGTTTTTATGCCTAAATAAATGCTTATCTTATTTTATTTTTTTTTAGCAGCACAGTGGAATGAAGTTTTCCATGAAAGGAACTCATAGCCAAGGCAACAGCTACAGCCCTGTGAGCAGTGGAGGCATGAGGCAACCGGTTGGTAACCGTGGACACCACCAGTACAATCGTAACATATGGAGAAGGAAAAAACACAGAGACAGCTTGCCTATTAGTCTGAGCAGATAATGGCAGATGCCAAAATGACCTTCCCTGTTCAGACAGACTGAGTGAGTGCCACTCCACTTGAGGGATGGAGACCAGCGTCCAGCACATCGTTTTGTTGGTGTTGCCAAATATCTGCAGCTGACTTCTTTGCATGTTTCTTTGTGTGGTGGTTCAGTCCATCTTCAAGAAGTAGTTGTGCTTATCTGTGAAGCCTTATTCAATGTGGAAGTTTGTTTTCTGCCTTCCCACAATGGTTCATTCAGTGCCGAAGCAGCTCTGACAATAGAACTGCAAGGACATTTACAAATGCTGTAGCTTTTTTGCTGTGGCTATATCTGTTCCTTTTCTTTTATTTTAGAAGTGAAGGAAACTTCAGCCCCTTGGAATTTTTTTTTTTTCTTCTTTGCAGCAAGTCAAGTTGGGAAATCATAAAAGTGAATTTGCTGCTCTCCTGGTTTTTTTTTTTTCAAAGCTCAATTTTTTTTCTCTGTAAATATTGGAAGTATGATTTGTGCAATAACTTGGAATTTTTAATTTAATTTCATATTATCACATAAGTTATATTTAAGGGGAAGAGGTTTTTTTAATTTACAGATCCTTTCCCAGGTTGCATTATCTAAGTTGGGGTCATAGTTTTGGCAGGTTGTCTGAACAGTGTTATAAACATGACATTTGGTAATATTTGAGGCTTCTTGATTCACAATGAAAGTGCGATTTGGCTTACAGTTTTAAGAATTTACTAAGCTCCAAAGCATTTTGACCCTGTGTTTTTTAGCTCATTGTCTGGCCTCTATCAATCGTCTTGCTCTGACCAATGAGTTTTAATTTTCTTTAACTAGACAACAAATTGAACGTTTGTAGTACCAGAAGTAAAACTTTTGAGAGGAATGGGAAAAAGGTTGGTTCAAGTCCTGATATGAAATTAAAAAGCTGTGAACTACATGCTTTGATGCATTTTAGTAATGTAACCTGTTAACGTTTGGGTTGAAAGAACACTATTAAACAGAGGTACCCGGCTTAAGGAATGTGGAGAAAGGAAATATGTTGATTCCATTGAGGAATCTGTATAGTAGTATGCATTAGTTCTGTTAAGAGCAAATATATAAAGTACTTCAGCTGCTCTAAGCATTACAAGAAGTATCTTTTAATGTGTTGCAGGAGTGCACAGCCCAGTGTTGTACACAGTATGAGTGGCTGGCACTTAATTTACAGATGCATACAGGTATACTATGCAAGTGTGTATTGCCATGACAAACACTGTCTTTAACTTTTTGAAAAATGTACATCCTGCCTAACCCTGAGTTTTTAAAGCACCACAGTTGTCCTGGGAGTAGGTCACATCTCATGCCCTCTGACTTCCCTTTTTTTAAGTGAGAGTTCTTAAGCTATACAGAAAACTACCGGTGAGTTATATAAGTCCACTAGCAGAGAAAGCTGAAGAATCCTGTTAACAGGACATCTATACTGTGTACAGATATAGAAGGTTTTAAAACTGGTATCTGAATATTGAAATGAGGTGTCAAGCATGAAGCTTTTTAATATGCTGTATGCCTTTGAAGCAGAAGTAGTTCATGTTATTACTGAATCTGTCAAACACAACAGGTCCTTGAGGGGAGAGAGGGCAACATTCCAAACTAGAGTAGTGCATATCTGTTTGCAGAAAGTTTGTCTTAATGCTCCAGACTCATCACAATAACAAAGTTCTAAAAATTGTGAGCTGATTCATAAATAATATCTAAGGGCTGTTACATGAGCCTGTACTGCTTAGTCTTCACACACTAGCAATATTGAGCATAACTACATTAAAGAGCCTTCAGAGGCTTTAATTGGTGTCTTATACTAGTGTCCATTTTAAAGCAAAACTCATTTGAAAAGTGGTATCATGTAACACTTCAGTCATGGTGAACCAAATGAATTGGCCTGGCTATCACTGTGGTTATGTGCTACAGGTTTAAAAAATGTTTAAATTTTTTGTGTGGACAACTATGTGGAAGCTAAAATTGACATATTTTTATGTAAAGTTTTCTATTCTTTGATTTTTAATAAACTTTGGAGACCAGTCACTCTTCTGTGCTTTTTTTTATGGGATACTTAATGGATGAAGTGACACTTGACCTTGTCCCATTCTTTGATGTACACTTTGAACATCTACTTTAAATTGCTCATGCTGAGCACCTTCAGAATGAACTTGGAAGGTGGATGGGTGCCCTCAAGTGATGGTGATGTTTTTATGAAGGGAGTTATGAGCATGCATGTTTCTTTTGTACTTATGGATTTGATCCTTCGATAATGAGAAAGCAGAGGAGCTGGAGGCAGTGCCTGCAGTATTCTCAAGAGGAGATCAACTGACTAGTTCTTTGGGATGCCATAACTTTTAATTAACTTTTTTTTCCTAGTAGTTTTTAAATTACTGTAGTTTTTAAATTCCTTTCAAATTCTTAATCTAGGTTTCAGCCTCCTCAGAGACTGGATGTTTATATATATCTGTGAATACTGAGAAAGGGAACTGAAGTGTTTTTAATAGACAGCAATGCAGGGCTAGGGATTGGCAATCAGGGAGGATACTTGGTCAATCTTAATGAGTATCTGCTGGAGAGAAGCAGAGAAGTAGTGGGAAGGGAAAATAATAACTACTCAGTTGTAGCTTGGATAATAACGATTATTTTTTCTGTCAGTCAGTTAACCAGTGGGACATGGCTGACAGAGGGATATATAATCTCTGCAGACACAAAGATTAAGTGCAGCAACATTGGTTTTGTAAATTCCTAGACTCCACCTTTTTCTTCCTTCTGTCCCAGATGATGATTTTGCTTTATTCCTCCTACGGATTCTGCTCAACTGTCTATCCTTGTTAGTAGTCTGCATTAGGGTTCTCCCTTGAACCCCTGTTCTGTGATTAAAAATGAGAAACCCCCTTGATCCCAGCCACCTAGTGACTATTTTGTACAGTGTTCATAGGCAAAACTAGTCATGGGCTTGAAAAGTGGAAGGAAGAGGCTGCAAATTGAATAGAGGGATGGGACCCACAGAGTCCATCACAGAAAGAGCTCACTTGTGATCTACTCCTATTTACAAGAGATATCAGTGCTGGTGTTGCGTTGGTTTTTCCCTGTAACTCCATCCCTGTGTGCTGAGGCAGGGTAAGAAGACAGAAATGTGACAGCTGGTACCATGCTCCTGGTTCAGCACTGTTTCTTTCCATGAGAGCAGCCTCTTGAGAATGGGCATAGCAATAGTTAGAGCAGCCCTAGAAAACAGCATGCCTTGAGGCAATGTGAGCTCTTCCTCATTTGTGGGTAAAAAGAAAAGCCTGAATTGCGAGCTAACAGGGAACTGATCACTTGGTGTATACTGTGGGGAAGTAAATCTGTCAGCTTCTGTGCTCTCAAAGACAGGAAGCTGCCTACTTGCTGACTGCTGCCAGTACAGTTTGGCTATAAATTTAGTAATACCTGGACTAAAGCAAAGTTATGACCTTTTAATTCTTCAATTAAAAGACATGTCAGAGCTATTGATTGGGTGGCTGCTCTTGTGCACTTAGACTATTTCAATTGGGGCTTGAAGTGTTGTGGAAAGCAGATGTACCAAAAAAGGAGGATTTTGGAAGTAGCCTTAGAAGCCTGAAAAGAAGTATCTTGGATAACAAAAAAAGTGTGAAGAAAAATATCAGAGGATGCCCCAGAACCTTAACTGATAGTGCCTGTCTAAAGCTCTGCTCACAATTCTCAGTGTTGTGCTACTGCAAAAGTTTTGGCTTAGAGCTGCCTATGGCACAGTAGCATTTTTGGTTTCAAATCAATTATGGATTCTCAAAAAAGTATTTGCTTTATTCATAATATTTACTATTGACAGATTGTTGCCTGAGTATAAAAAGAAATTATGACTGGCCCATGTGCAGCACATACTGATGATATGCATATCTGTGTGTGTGAGGTCAGGAAAGACAAAGGGCATCTCATCCAACACCAACTATTTTTACCCTTATCCACCAAAATGTGACATGTTCTTCTGATGTGAATTCTTAGGAAGCAGCAAGCTGCTTCCTGCTTCAGTAATTTAGGAGAGTTGAACAGTAGGTAGATTTATGGATTTACTAAAACATGGCTTCCAGATAAATGCTTCACTCATTCATATTCAGACCTAAACCAAACAGGATTTAGGAGCTCCTATTACAGGATTTTGTATGTGACAGAATGAAAGTGATATTTAAACTGGAAGTCCATAACCTCTGTGCTAGAGTTGCCACTTTTTATTAGTGAAAAATTTGGCACTGATCCTCGATGGATGTTCTGTTGAGAAAATCTTTGTAAGAAAATTCCTTGCTTCCTGCTCTTCCTGTCCAGAAGAGAAAAGCTGAATCTTCGGATGGGCTACATCCACTCCTTCAGGATTGCCATTGGACACATCTGGCTAATTTCAGGAGCCAAAATGAGTAGATGCAATCTCACCCTTGTTAAGATTTGCATGTCCAGGTTGTAAAAGTCACTTGGGTACCCCTTACTGTATAATTGTGGGTGAGATCAACAAATCATCTCTGTTCTCTTGGGGAGATTTCTTAGGAGACTTAAGAACAGAAAACAAGATTTCAAGAAAACAAGTCATTCATACATGTGGATGCAGTCTTCTGTAGATGAGCAGAGCACTGTTGAGGTTCCCAGCTGCAAGTACAGGATTTGTTCTGTCCTCACAAGGGCCCTGGAGGGGGAAGCAAGGCAGCCCAGCAGATGTGTTTGCCCCTCAGATTAGGGGGTAACAGAGCAGGTCTGTGCAAGAGTTTTCTGATCTGTTCCTTATACAGCAGTTGAAAAATTATTTGCTGTTTTCCTCTGTTAAAAAGGAATTGTCAGGGAATGAAAGGTTATGGGAAATGTGCTGTGTGGGTGTGAGCTTTAGGAATTATGAGTGGCTAGGCACTGGGATACAAGTGCTCCAGTCTGGTAGTAAGATTTCTGTCCTTTGAAGTTGTAAAAACCTGGCTGGATGAGGCTCAGGTAATCCATTCTAATTTCAATCAGTCCTGCTGCACCACTTTACCTCTGTAGAGCTTTAAAAGAATCAAAATTTTTTTTTTTTAATTTTACTTTCTCTCTGCTGGGTTTATGAAGTTTTTTTATTGGGGGCATAGGTCGGTATTGTTTGGTTTTTTGCTTTGTCCTGCACTTGTGAAAATATATCTGCAAATTCTAGGACCAATACACAGAAACAGGTAAAAACCTAGTGGTTTCTGAAGCTGATAACCCCTGGAAATGAATAGTCCCCTGTCATAAGTTACTGACCAAGAAATATGATTTTTTTTGTATCTTCTCTGTATGATGATGATTACTGCTATTAACAATTTTTTCTTTTCTGAGTTCAGTCAACTTGCATTTG